TACAAGGATATCTGCAAGCAGGATCTGAAGGCCTTATGAATGGACCTCAACAGATGGAAAACCTTGACAACTGAGCATTCAGCCTGGAGGCAGGTGGTGCATCATGGCCTCTCGCATTTTGAATCAGCAGCCCAAGGCAAAGAGGCAGTCCCGAAACCAGCAAAATCAGGGAGCTGGACAGGGAAAGATTGTATTTGTCTTTAGTGTGGAAGGGATTGTCACTCTCAAATTGGCCTTCTCAGCCACACTATAGGCAGTTCCAAATCCTCTATTCAGAACACATTAACATAGTCTCTCAAGACTAAAAGATATCTAATCTAATATGATCTCTGTGACTAGCCCCAGCTAGCAATCTGGCTGTAAAACAGTTTCCCCAAGTTACATCCCATAGTGAGACCAGAAGAATACCATGGTCATGTAGATTTTAATAACACAGGAGACAAAGCAAAACCCTCTTCTTTACAAAAAGCTATAGTTCTTGCTGCAAATACAAGCTCCCAGTTTTTAATAATTGAAACAAGTGTAAATCAATGGCCAAAATCCTGTTGCACAGTGTAGTAAGTCACAACTAGAGTAGGTTCACTTGAATCAACTGAATGTACACACAAGATGACTCATCAAATCCCCAATCAGTGGACTTCCTCTAGTGCAACTTGCTATACTAAGCAACAGAACTTCAGCCAATGTTTTCACTTTTATCCAATGATAGTGATGTATAAAAATCACTAATTATGGTTGCATAGGTGAGGATGTGCACCTGAATGTGCATACATGTTTTTCTTATTCAAAGCAATGTTTTGCAGATGAAGGAACCCTGCATTCAAATGCACATCCAATTTAAAAATATAGTTCCTAATTCAGAAAAGGACATCCATATGCATTTCTTTGTCTGGACTATTAGAGGTTTTAGAACATATCAGTTAAACGCATGCACTTGTTTAGTATTACTGAACTTTAGGAAAAATTCTCTCTCACCCTTCTCCAAATGTTATGCAGGACGACGTCATAAAGTGCTCAATAATCTTGTTTTATTTTTGAAGAGTTTTTTTTAAAATTCAGTCTAGGTACAGGGCACTGCTGTTTATGTTCCAAACACCCTTGAGCTATCTGACAGGCATTTCCACTAATCTGGAGTATCACAATCAGCACTACAGGGAAGCTGGGGATCTTTATGCCAAAACTGACATCACTGGCTGTGTGTGACATTCCTTTCAGAAAAAGGCAAAACAACATTCAGCAGACTTTGGATGATCTCTCTACACACACTGCAACATTTTTTAAAAACAAAAATCGGATGTACTAAAATTATAGCGTTTAACATAAAACACTGCCAAACATTATTCAGGTCCAATTTGTAACAAGTGCAAGGTCTACATATTTCTGATGTTTTGCTCCATGAAAGTCTAATCCTGACTAGCTGAAAGTATTCTTTTCAGTTATTGAAACTTTTAAACTAAAATCTTTATTGAACGTAACTGTTTTATGGATAAAGACTTTTCCTTGTTAAAATTACACACCCTTTCACTGGTGGTGGGACTGTGGGTTAAACCGCAGAAAGCTTCTGGGCTACCAGGTCGGAAGACCAGCAGTTCGAATCCGCGCAAGGGAATGAGCTCTCGCCGCTTGTCCCAGTTCCTGCCAACCTAGCAATTTGAAAGCATGTATAATGCAAGTAGATAAATAGGTACCACTTTGGTGGGAAGAAAACAGCGTTCCGTGTCTAGTCACGCTGGCCACATGACCACAGAAACTGTCTATGGACAAATGCTGGCTCCAGGGCCTGGAAACAGGGATGAGCACCACCTCCTAGAGTCAGACATGACTGAACAATTGTCAAGGGGAATCTTTACCTTTACTTTATCACTTATAGAATTAGAGATACATCTGCAAAGGAACCTGTCCCTGGCAAGCCGAATATCAGAAACATAACCAAAGAAAGCAGGCAGGATATATCATGATGGAATCATGAGATTGAGATTATGCACAGTTGTCCTTATTGGCCATTTTATCACTTCAACAGCAATGCTATGGATAAGAAAGAGCTGACAAGATTAGCATGTGTCAACTACAAGAGATTAACTTGTCACCCCATAAGAAAGACCTCTCTGCAAATGTGGTTTTAGACATCTAGATAGAATAGGTATAATTTACAAATTCATGTTCAGGATTTTTATAAAACTGCAGTAAAATAGTAGTACCCTTTCCAGTAGTTCAGTTTAATAGTAACTAATCTGGCAGCATGTTTACCAGCTGCTAAAAGCATTTTACTAAGCCAATATGCAGGCATTAGTTGCTGATCTACTAACATAATCCCCAGGGACTTGCCAGACTAGTTGTTGCAGCATTACAATATATTTATGAATCAGACTCTACCATTAGATGCATAAAATCAGTATTTATTCTTAGTAAGCAACTATACATAGAATATATACATGGTTGTATTGAAGGTGAATGTTATCACTGAGGTCAAGATGAAATTAAATGCAAGAAACACAGATAATTACGCACTTCTGAGAACATAATTATGAAAATTATGTTGATGCGTCTGCTATAGTATATATCCTCAGAGCAATGCTGCTAATGATACAAAGGTCTTGGCCTCTTAATCCTCTTTCCTTCTTCCAGCACCATTCTGTGTATGTACACCTTAAGTACGCCAATGGAAGGTGGACTATCAATTCAGGATTTGACACCCCAATGAAGAAGAAAGAAGAACATCCATTTGTTGCCTTTGGGTCCCTTTTCACAGCATCTCTTGAGTTAAATAATAAACTCACTCAAGAAACCCTAATACTTTAGGTGCCTTTTAGCTACTTAGCCAGAGTTGAAAATTTAAATTTTTGCTGCTCTTCAGATTAAACAAGATGGCTTGTCCTTGGCTGCAACTAGATATGGGCTCCTGTTCTTTCCTTTAATCTGAATTTGTGCAGCACGAATTCATTCAGACATAACTGACTGAATGTGTATGCAGCTCACAACATCAGCTCCGTGCTGTGGCTTTTTAAGCACAGCCTTGGAATTTGTTCTGGAGAAAGCATGAAAACACTGGTCACATCCTAAATACAAGTCACACTAGCACCTCATGACGATTGATGCCTTTGCAACATATACTGTATTCTCTATTCAAGCAGCATGCGATACTAAATCTCCTGTCTTGACATGCTTTCCAACCTCAGACTCTGTATGCACATTTATCCTTACAATCTCAACGATATAAACTTCATGCCTAATAATTTAGTATGAGTGCCAGGGAAAGATACGTACTGTGCTTACTCTGGAAATGACGTATACCGAGTCGCAAACGACGACCTAGGCATACATGCATACGAGCAAAACAAACGTTTCCGACCACCAGCAGCAACACGCACACCAGCCACAGTTGCTTTTCCTCCCAACCCACTCCTGGGAAAACATGCGGTGTTCCCGGCAAAGAAATCGGACACCATCAGGCCTGGCTGGCTTGGCTCGACATTACTGACTTCTCCGGCCCTACGTTCACCGGCATGCAAGCTGTACCCAGCGCAGGCTGCGGACTGGGCTCCCACAGGAACGGCGTGTGCTGTGCCCCCCCCCCCGCTTTGGACGCCGCCACAGGCGAGGCAGCCCTCAAAGCTATGCTCCTCGGCCTCCCGTCAGGGAGCTTCTGGTATCTATCGAGCAGAAGAGGAGGAGGACGCCCCCGGTAGCGGTGATAAGGGAGGGGCGCGGCTCTCGCTCGCTGTCTCCCTGCCGCCCCGTCGCTACCGACTTCTTCGCCGCTCCCCCCATTTTGCCTTGCCCGCCTCCTACTCGCCCGAATATCCGCCCCTCTACCCAAGACGGCGCCTTGCCTTGCTTTTCCCTCTAGCCGTCTTTCCCTCCCTCCCGCCGTCCTTCTTCTGAGGTACGGCGCGGGGTGAGCGTGTCTCGTCCCCTCGGCTGGCGCCGCGAAGAGAACCGAGCTGCCGCCGCCTCCCGTTCCCCTCAGGCAGACTTCTCCTCCGGCCCCCTGGTGGTTGCGGTGGTTGTCGTCGCCGCCGCCTGTCAGGAGGAATGTGGCGGGAGAGCACGTAAGGCGCGCGGCTCCTGCCGTTGTTCCTCCGGTCCAACCACCCTCGCGCCTCAGGAGCCAGGCAGAAAAAAAGGCCTCCCTCCCTCGCCGCCTACCTGGCCTCCGTGAGGGCGGCGAGGGAAGGAGGGATGCGTATTCGTTACTCTCTTCTCTTTCCCTCAGCACCCGCACGGCTTTAACCCTTGGCGGCGGCTGTGCGGGCGGCGCGAGAGGGGGGAGAAAAGGAGAAAAAGACGAGGTCCCCTCCTGCCTTCGCCGTTACAGCTTTCATTTTGTCTAGTCCCTCTGAGGAGAAGAGGGGGCTGCCGTATCTCGTGTGTGTGTGTGCGTATGTGCGTGTTCAGACCAAGCGAGTATAGCCTCCGCGCCCACCCTTCCGCGTTCCCACCTTCCTCGAGCCACTCCAGCAAAACGAAAGGAAACACACATCAGTCAAGCAATAATTTTGATGCGGCAACACCTGAACTATAAAATACACTTCCATCTTCTATCGAAGACTCAAAAAAGGGCCTCACTCCGATCGACTTCAGCCGCGTCACAAGGTAGTCGTTTTAACAGGCATTCCCCTTTTACGAAGACATTCACACGCACATAGGCACACGCGTGACGTCCATTATTATCAACCGGTCCTCTTCTCTCCACTTCGGCTCCTGTCTACAGTGTTGGGTGTGCCGCCGAAAATCACGAGAAATGCATCCGAACAAACAAACAAAAAACCATTTGTTTTAAAGCGATGAGCAGCAATCATCATCAGTATTCAAGAGTAGAGAAAGGGAAACTATGTTTAAGCGGACACACAACACTGTAAGGCGAAGCAAACCAGGATCGGTTTACATGAATTTGCTAAAGTAAGCCCACTATATTTGGTGAGACTTGCTCTCTGGTAAGTGGTACCTGACATCAGCTTTCAGAGCATATTTGGATGCCCTGCACTGTAGTCTATTCTGATCCTGTGCAAATCACTGGTGCTTGTCCCTAAAAGCAAACATTGGATTGCAGTTTGAGGCTTTAGAACCAGCTCTGAGGCAAATCTGGTCAGCAAAATATCTGATCACTCTTAAACAAAGTAAAAATTCTCCTACATTCTGCAGAAACACCTTGTATTTAGACTTTACTTTGGACTCTATAAACTTTCAATTTAAATCAAGTCATACAAATAAGAAATGCCTAAACACAATCCCTGATTGTGGCTCTGATCATCAGCTTCTTATAGCAACATTCAAGCTTAAACTGAAGAGGGTAGGAAAAACCACTGGGCTAGACAGATATAATCTAAACCAAACCCCTTACGAATTCACAGTGGAACTGGAGAACAAATTTAAGGAACTAGATCTGGCAGACAGAGTGCCTGAAGAACTATGGATGGAGGCTTGTAACATTGTACAGGAGACAGCACCAAAAACTATCCCAAAGAAAAGGAAATACAGTACAAGAAAGCAAAGTCACTGTTCAATGAGGCCTTACAAATAGCAGAGAAGAGAAGGAAAACAAAATGCAAGGGAGATAGGGAAAGGTACAGAAAATTGAATGCAGACTTCCAAAGAATAGCAAGGAGAGACAAGAGGGCCTTCTTAAGTGAACAGTGCAAAGAAGTAGAGGAAAAGAACAGAAAGGGAAAAACCAGAGAGCTGTTCAAGAAAATTGGAGATACAGTGGTGCCTCGCATTACGACATTAATTTGTTCCAGCGAAATCGCTGTAGAACGAAAATGTTGTAAAGCGATTTTTAAAAGCACACAGAAACACATTAAAACCTGGTTAATGCGTTCCTATGGGCTGGAAACTCACCGTCCAGCGAAGATCTTCCATAGCGCAGCCATTTTCGCTGTCTGTGCAGCGAGGAATCCGTCCCAGAAAACAGCGGCTGGCCATTTTGTTTACCCGGCAGCCATTTTGAAACCGCCGATCGGCTGTTAAAAAATCATCGCTTCGCGAGAATCGGTTCCCAACCGATCATCGCAAAGCAAAATTCCCCCATAGGGAACATCGTTTTGCAATTGCTTTTGCGATTGCAAAAACTTTGATGTCAAGTGGTTTCGTCGTTAAATGGAGCTCCCGTCCTGCGGAGCACCACTGTATTAAAGGAACCTTTGATTAAAGATGGACATGATAACGGACAAAAATGGTAGGGACCTAACAGAAGCAGAAGACATCAAGAAGAGGTGCAAGAATACACAGAGGAATTATACTAGAAAGATCTGGATGTCCTGGACAATCCAGATAGTGTGGTTGCTGAACTTGAGCCAGACATCCTGGAGAGTGAAGTCAAGTGGGCCTTAGAAAGCATGGCTAACAACAAGGCCAGTGGAAATGATGGCATTCCAGTTGAACTATTAAAAATATGTTAAGGTTCTATACTCAATATGCCAGCAAGTTTGGGAAACTCAGCAGTGGCCGGAGGATTGTAAAAGATCAGTCTACATCCCAATCACAAAGAAGGGCAGTGCCAAAGAATTCTCCAACTATTGTATAATTGCACTCATTTCACACACTAGCAAGATTATGCTCAAAATCCTCCAAGGTAAGCTTCAGCGGCATGTGGACTGAGAACTCCCTGAAGGACAAGCTGGAAAACATCTACTTCTGCTTCATTGACTACGCAAAAGCCTTTTACTTGTGGACCATAACAAACTATGGCAAGTTCTTAAAGAAATGGGAGTGCCTGACCACCTTATCTATTTCCTGAGAAATCTATATGTGGGACAAGAAGCAACAGTTAGAACTGGATATGTAACAACTGATTGGTTCAAAATTAGGAAAGCAGTACGACAAGGCTGTATATTGTCTCCCTGCTTATTTAACTTATATGCAGAATACATCATGCAAAAGGCCGGACTGGAGGAATCCCAAACCGAAATAAAGATTGCCGGAAGAAATATCACCAACCTCAGATATTCAGATGATACCACTCTGGTGGCAGAACGTAAGGAGAAATTAAAGAACCTCAATGAGGGTGAAAGAGGAGGGCACCAAAAATGATCTGAAGCTCAACATAAAAAAAAAAGATCATGGCCACTGGTCCCATCACCTCCTGGCAAATAGAAGGGGAAGATACGGAGGCAGTGACAGATTTTACTTTCTTGGGCTCCATGATCACTGCAGATGTGACAGCAGCCACGAAATTAAAAGGTGCCTGCTTCTTGGGAGGAAAGCAATGACGAACCTAGACAGCATCTTAAAAAGCAGAGACATCACCTTGCTGACTAAGGTCCGCCTAGTCAAAGCTATGGTTTTTTCAGTAGTGATGTATGGAAGTGAGAGGTGGACCATAAGGAAGGTTGACCACCAAGAATTTATGCTTTTGAATTGTGGTGCTGGAGGAGACTCTTGAGAGTCCCCTGGACTACAAAGAGAACAAACCTATCCATTTTGAAGGAAATCAACCCTGAGTGCTCACTGGAAATAGAGATCCTGAAGCGGAGGCTCCCATACTTTGGCCATCTCATGAAAAGAGAAGACCCCCTCAAAAAGCCCCTGATGTTGGGAAAGTGTGAGGCTGAGAGGAGAAGGGGATGACAGAGGACGAGATGGCTGGACAGTGTCTGCGAAGCTACCAATATGAATTTGACCCAACTCCGGGAGGCAGTGGAGGACAGGAGGGCCTGGCATGCTCTGGTCCAAAAGAGTCGGACAAGACTTAACGACTAAACAACAACAGCAAAGCATTAACAAAAAATTAATGTGAAAAATTGAGCCAAGGGTCTGGATTGTTGCTGTTTCAGTAAAATTTAGGAAGAGCAATATGTGTCTTGAAGATACACAATTTTGATTAGAAGAGTCTTAACTGCAGGGCCTGGGGTGCTTTGAAACAAACAGCTCCTTGTGCTCCCAGTCAAAAAATATTGTCTGGCTGCTTTGTCTTTCTCTTTTTAATATTTTTAAGAAGAAAAAAAGGAGGAAAGTGATGGAAAAATACAGCTGGAAAATGTAATTTTCTGTCTAAAACCAGATGATTGTATGAAAAAGCTGTACCTAACTTGGTAAGCACTAGTAGGGCAGATGTAGTTGCCTTCATCAGTTTGTCATTTGGTGAAAACACTGCAAGGATTTGTGCTATCAGCATACCTGTCATTTCACATCAACAAAATCTGCTTGTACTTTACTGTCCTCTCTCTTTGGCCCACTAAATATACCCTCAATTCAGAAATACACATCTATTAAGGAGGAACTTTTTTTTTCCAATCACAATGCTAGAAACTGACATTTGCACTGTTTATAGTTATTTCCATACTGTTTCATACTTGATGCTTTCCAAGGCAGTTGCAAATAACCAAGCAAGACAAATTATATTCTGTCAACAGAATATCTCCTCTTTGTTGAAGTTTCGTCATTAAGTCGTGTCCGACTCTTCGTGACTCCATGGACTAGAGCATGCCAGGCCCTCTTGTCTTCTACTGCCTCCTGGAATTTGGTCAAAATTTTAGCCTTTTGTTTCTGTCCATGGAGTTTTCTTGGCAAAGATACTGGAGTGGCTTGCCAGTTCCTGCTCCAGGTGGATCGCGTTTAGTCAGAACTC